GCCACTGTCCCTTTGTCTCCCAGCCTTCCTGCTGAGCCATTCTTTGGTCCCTGGGCAGAGTGGCCTGGTGACTAGGGGCTGCAGGCTGTCACTCTTAATGAAGCGTTGGCCCAGGGAGACAATCATCTCTCACAGCAGCCCCGGGATGATCTGTGAGCTGCATGTTAGGAATGCCCGGCAAAGATGGGTTACAGCTCAATTAAAGAGAAGTGTGTGTGTGTGTGTGTGTGTGTGTGTGTGTGTGTGTGTGCGCGCGCGCCTGCGTGAGGGGTGTGCATGTGCGCTCATCCACTGGAGGCTGGAGAGCAGAGTGTGAGAATCAGGTAAATCGAGGGAAAATGTGCCCTGAGCACTGGCCAGAAGCTAACATCTTGCCTGAGTGACAGATGCTTGGGAGATGTTAGAGATCGGACCAAGCAGCCCCCAAACCTGGGAGAGCTCGTAGTTTGCCGTTCGCATCATTCTACGGAGTAATGAATATAAATTCAATAAACCGTGTATGAGGATAATTTTGAACTCAATTTGGGTCTCTCCAGTCTAAGACAATCGTTCAGGGTGCCAGCTTTTCCGCTTCATTTGGATTTACAAGATTTGGTGAGAGGGGCAGGGGATGGAGGTCAGGGCGGGGCTCTCAACTATTGCATTCAAAGCCCTAAGCTGGACCAGCCAGCTCTGGGGAAAAAAAGAAGAGGATGATAAGACGTGAGACCAATTCAAAGGTGAAGGTGTTTCCAGTGTGGCATCCCTTCAGGAGTCCTTCCCTCACTTCTCCAAAGATGCTCCCATCTAGGAACAAGGAAGAGACAGTCATGTCATGGGCTGAGACTGTGACAACCAGGCCACCAAGACAATAGCCACTTGGGGCTGGAGAGATGGTGGGCAGTTCACAACATCTGGCAACTCCAGATCCAAGGGCTCTGAGGCTCCCTTTTGACCTCTTCAAGCATCTGCCCGAGCACATACACACATTCCCTGGGCCAACGCTTCATTAAGAGTGACAGCCTGCAGCCCCTAGTCACCAGGCCACTCTGCCCAGGGACCAAAGAATGGCTCAGCAGGAAGGCTGGGAGACAAAGGGACAGTGGCGGTGGACTTGCAATAGTGATGGAGGGGTTTCTGGGACAAGAAGCAACTAGGCTGCAGGTCGCGGAACGACCCTGGGCTATGACATCAGAGCTAATGCAGCAACTCGGTCGCACAGGCACTTCCCTTGCAGCTGAGAGGCCGATGTTCAAGCCCCAAGAAGCATCCAGAACACCAGAGTCTCCATAGGCCGTCATTGCTTGGGAAATCAGCACAGCTTGTGACATCCCCTCCCTGTGCAGACCTGTTTCTAGAGTTGCCTTCTCTCCCCTCTCTTTCCAGGCAGAAGACCAGGGACCAAGAAAGGAACAAATACTTCCTATGCTGTAGGGCTGATTTACTTAGTTACATAAACTCACATTTAAAAACAAACAAACCAGGATATAGAGGGTGCAGCCTTTTCCAGTGATTAAGTGCTTGCCTGGCACTCATGGGGCCTGGAGTTCCATCTGCAGCATGGCGAAAAAACATTTATTGGACCATAATGTACATATAATAAACACATGAATAAATATTGGATGCTTTTGACAAACATACACGCCCTGTGACTACCACCCTATCAAATACGATTGCTTAACGAAGCCTCAAATTCAGTCCCCTTGGGAGACCGGATCAGTTTATAGCTACAGATACTGAGGGTTGGAAGGGTTCAGGACATTGGCCGGGAAGATGGCAAACACCCTAAACCTGCTGGTCTGAGAACTTAGCTCTATCATTCCATTAACTACTGAGCCCCAACCCACTGGTCCCCTTTCCACGGTTGTTGGAGAGGGATTTCTGGTGTGCAGGTTTTTTTTTTTTTTTCTCCCTGACCCTGTTTTCTCCTGAGATTCACTCCAGAGAGAAAAATCCCCTGAAACAGCACTAAAAGTCCTCAGTGAAAGGTCAGTGCGCAGGAAACACAGACAAGGGAACAGGTGACTTCAGACAGTGCAGGATTTTCTTTGGGGGGGGGTTCCCATAGAGGGGGCGCCTTGTGAGAATTGGCTGGCCGACCATGTACAAGCTAGACAGTTACAGGCCAGAGAGGGATGGGATGGGGAAGAAGGCTGAGCATGTCCCCTTCTGGCTTGGGGGTGATCAGTGAGTAGTTAAAGGATGTCAGGTGATCCATAAACGTCTTTCCTGTGTGGACTTTACTTGGGGGTACAGGGTGGGTTATCAAGAATCTATAAACTAATTTATTTTTTAGAAACCCAGTAACTTGGGCTGGAGAGGTGGCTCAGTGGTTAAAAGAGCCCTGGCTGCTCTTCCAGAGGACCTGGGTTCAGTTCCCAGCACCCAACATGGCAGCTCACACCTGTCTGTGACTCCAGCCCCAGGGGACCTGACACCTTCACACCAATGCGCATAAAATAAATAAATAAAGCCAAAAAGAAAGAAACCAAGTAACTTTAGTTGCTGAAATTGTTGCAACTTGACCAAAATGGAGGTGCTACATCAAACAGTGTGGTTCAAATGGTGTGGTCCTGGCTCTCACTCAGAAGGCAGAGCTGTATGCTGCACATGCACGTTAGCTCATGTTCACTCACTCTAACTTCCATGATAGAGAAGGTAAGCTTAAGGAGCCTGTTGACACTGGATGGTGGTGACAGAGGCAGGCGGATCTCTGAGTTCAAGGCCAGCCTGGTCTACAGAGTAAGTTCCAGGACAGCCAGGGCTACACAGAAACCCTGTCTCAAAAACAAACAAACAAACAAACAAACACCCAAAACAAAACAAAAAGGAGCAGCCTGTTGGTCACCCACTGAAAAACCAGGCCCTTCTCTTTTTCCTGAATTCTCTTGTATCTGCTGAGAAGTCCAGCTCCCTGGCCTCTTTGTTGTTGGTATCCATGGCAGTTACCGTCTGTGTGAGGTGAGCATGTCCTCCCCCTCACCATCCTACAGAGCAGGCCCTGGCAGCTGGGCGCATAGAGAGACACTCAGCCATTCAAACAGGCCTGAGCCTGAGGGTTTCCCTCCTGTCTTGGGGGGCATGTGCGGGTCCTACATAGCTCCTTCTCCGGTCATTAGATGGAAACTGCTGTGGTAGATCGTTCACTGGTAGAGAACCCCCAGGGGATCCTGCCTACACTACAGTAGGAACAAGACTCTGAGCCAGCCCAACGGGGGATAGGGGGTGCGGGGGGGGGGTATACCCAGGCCAGGTGGCTGGCATGAGGCAGCAGGGAATCTTTTGCGGGGTGTGGGGGAGGGATTTCTACCAGACTGTCATTTCTGCTCCATTGTGTATCCTCTCTGGCTTTGAAGTGGACTGTTTCTTGCAGCCTGGCTTTAACCCAGCGAACTGCATTCAAGGATCACTATTCAGACTCACCGGCAGACAGCCAACACTCAGAACGTCTGGCTTCTGGTCCACTTCAGCGGGGTCTTTGGATAAGCAGCTGTGTACGGGTGCTGGCCTGAGCTTGAACAGGTGTGCTTGATAAGAGTGACAGACACAGCACATGGTTCCTGCCTTCAATGTGTCACGGCTGGTCATCCAGATAGAGGGGTACACTGACTCTGGGGCCAGACAAATGGGATTTCACACATCTCTCTAACTCTGTGGCCTTGGGGTAAGATGTTTGCTCACTGGAAGACTCAGTTTTTGCATCTGTAGAATGGCAGACCTACAGGCTAAGTTGCTCACAGTACTCAGATCAGTTCTTTACATGTAATAAGTAGTATGCCCTTCTTAACCACCACCATAATTATTCTAGGGGTCTTATGAGTGGGAAGTTATATAGACTATATAAAAGATTTTTTTCACGGTGCCCTGAATGTCTATGGTGGTTACTTGTTGCTGGAGGGCTTCTCTCCAGGTTCCCCAAGCCCCGCAGTCCCACAATCCACTTATAAAATAATCACTCAGACGCTTATATCACTTATAAACTGTATGGCCATGACAGGCTTCTTGCTAACTGTTCTTTTATCTTAAATTAACCCATTTTTATAAATCTATACCTTGCCACGTGACTGGTGGCTTACCAGAGTCTTTACATGCTGCTTGTCCTGGCAGTGGCTGCAGTGTCCCTCCCTCCTTCTTCCTGTTTCCCCAATTCTCCTCTCTCTTTGTCCCACCTATACTTCTTGCCTCATCATTGGCCATCAGTGTTTTATTTATATAGAGTGATATCCACAGCAGTTACTACTGTGAAAGGCTATCATCATACATGCTTTCCAGTCACAGGGCACATCCCATGGAAACACAGGAAAGATGACTCTTGTCTGTAGGGATCACACCAGTCCCTCGAAGGTGGTGTTCAGGCTGAGCACTGACTGGAAAAGAGGCTTGAATAAGCAGGGATGAGCATGTGAGGCCCAGCACCCTTGGCCCTCAGCTCAGCGACTGCCCTCAGGCTCTCAGCCTGGCAGGGAGGTCAGCTGCCGTGTGGGCTCCCCACGTCATTTGGGCACCCTGCACTGAAAGGCCAGGGCCAGTCTCAGGACAGGATGCTGTGAAGAACCAGCCCAGGACAGGGACAAGGGGGAGTGGGGCAATTGAGAGAGAGCCAGTGAGGGAGCCCAAGGCCAAGCTCACACTGAACTGGCTGTCACCACAGGGCTCCGCTCTTCACCTCTGTGGTTTTGTTTTCTTACTTTTGAGTGGGGAATAACACAACCTGACTCACCTTCCAGCTGTACTACAATGATCAAATACGAAGTTCAATCAGCGTGTTCATGGCAAAGCACTCTTCTTCAAGACCAAGAGACATGTTAACGCGGCATCTGCAAAGCTCCAGGGAAATGCAGAGGCAAAAACCATGGAGAGGCTCAGACCAACTACTGGGACCAACACACCTGACTCATCCCAGCAGTGAACCAATAACACCTCCCCACCCCTACCCCCGCATAACATATTGACTCTACTCACTCATGCAGCAAATACTCCTTATGTGCCCACTGAGTGCCAGCCTAGGGGCTCCCTACTGGGTGAGAGAGATGGATGGGGACCCTGCTTTGGGTTGTCTTTAAGCAATTTGAAAAACTGGCAACCTGGAGACTTCTATCCCACTGGTCACCTTCCAGTTCCCAGGACTGTCGCTGTTCATTCTGAGCTGAGCCAGGCTACCAAGGCATGTCCTCACGCCAGCATAGATCCTGTGAACACACCCCTCTGACCTCTGCTGATGAGGAGCTCCAAAGGCCTCCCTCAGACTCCCCCACGTCCCTGGTGCTTTCCCTGACCTCCCTCCCCCCAAACACTAACCGAAGTGCCTTCATATTTAAAGAGGAATGAATTTCTAATTAGCACCCAAACACTCGAGCGTGGCCCTTCCTGGCCTTTCCTATTTAAATGCAAATTAGTCTTTCCCAGAGGAAAGCTGATGAGTGGAGGGAGCCTCAAAGGGTGCTGATCAGAACTGTCACTTTTGTCACGGCTACAGACTTTGCTGCCCACCACCTACACCTCCTCTCTCCTCAACGCCAGGCTCTGAGGCTGAGGGAGTTGGAGGCAGGGCCTGAGTCCTTGTCCCCAGCATCCAAACCCCTATTCTCATGTCTGTCTGGGAGGATGGCTAGGCCTGTAGGAGGTCATCTTAGACTGATGGGCTGGAGAGGACATAGGCATTCAAGTCAGGAACACCTGGCTTGGAATTCAGGGTGCTCTGTCTCCCCCTTACACACACACACACACACACACACACGCACGCACGCACGCACGCACGCATGCATGCATGCATGCACACACACTAATCCTTGCATACCTATGGAGGTCAGAAGACAGCGTGCAGCAGTTATCCAGTTCTTTCCTTCCCCCATGTGGGTCCCAGGGAGACAAATCAAGTTACCAGGGCTGCCAGGCAATCACTCTTATCCGCTGAGCCTTCTCACCAGCCCACGATGCTCTTTTCAGAAGTGCACATTCTCTACCAGCGTGTTACACCTCCAGCCCGGGAGGGACGCTCTTCTAAGGAGCTGTGAGGGAGGGTAAATTTCTGCTATGTTGCCGTGCCTTCCTCATGGAAATAGGACTGGTAGTGTTTCTCTCAAGACTGTTGTGAAATCACACAGTAATGAGAAAAGGCGCCCATGCACAGTAAGCGATCCACAGTGGGCACTGACACCGAGTGGCCTTCTGTTGCTCTTATCAGTGCCAGCTTACTATAAAATAAGTGTGGGACAAGTTGTCAAGAAAAAGGTGGCATCCCATTTGTCCCCCTAAAAATAGCTGAAGGTGAAGAGAAGGTTTACAAGGGGCCAGAGAGGAAATACTTTATGCCTGTGGGCCCACATGCTGCGTAGACTACTTCAGGCTGTTGGGGAGGGGGGGGGGAGCTGTGGCAGACAGTGTGTGGGACTGTGTTCCAACATAATTTATAACTTTGTTTATAGACATGACCAAGTCATGTCATTTTCACATATCCTGAAGCATATTTTCTTTTGTTTCTTTCTCCTTGACAATTAAAAAACTACAAAGACTGCTACAAGATCACAGGCCAGACCAGACCAAGGCCTTGTTCTCTGACTGCTGCCCTGGGGCGTTATGGTCCCATGGTCTGGGGGAAATTGTGCGAAGGCACCTACCCCTAAGAATGTCGGGTTCTCAACTGAAGTTGGGACTATGGAGGAGGGATGTCATCCCAGGAAAGAAACGGTGTGACCTCGAACTTCAGGGGAACGAAGGACACACAGGGTTTATGATGGTAGCTTCTAGAACACCAGCCATTAGATTCTAATCTGAATAGGGACCACTCTGATCCTTATCTACTGTGGTGCTTTGAAAGAAAATGGTCCCCATGGCTCATTGGGAGTGGCACCATTAGGAGGTGTGGCCTTGCTGGAATAGGTGTGGCCTTGTTGGAGGAAGTGTGTCACTGGGAGCGGGCTTTGAGGTCTCCTATGCTCAAGCCAGGCCTAGCGTGATAATCTCTTCCTGCTGCCTGCAGATCCAGATGTAGAACTCTTGGCTACCTCTCCAGTACCATGTCTGCCTGCATGCTGCCATACTTCCCACTATGGCGATGGGCTAAACCTCAGAACTGTAAGCCAGCCCCAATTCAATGTTTTCCTTAGAAGAGTTGCTGTGGTCGTAGTGTCTCTCACAGTAACAGAAACCCTAACTAAGACACCTAGTAACATCCAGGATAAGGACTGAGGACTCACTGGCTCTAAACAGGAAGCCCCGTTCTCCTGGTGACAGGCTCTGGTCCCTTGGGGTTCCTCAAGTCCCACAGCTGCATACCTGACTGGCCTGGGAGTGCCCGCTAATAAAGACCGGCGACCCTTTGGTCCACCCACAGCCTAGCCTGCTGCTCACCTTTCTGGATGCCCATCTATTTTTAGGCCAGCACAGCCCACACACAGCCTGCCCGTTATGCATCCCCTCCTCTTCCGTGTGAGGCATGGAGGAGACATGGGTCAGCACACCAGATGGCAGCCTTGCTGCTGCAGCAGATTGCCTGTCTCCCAAGGGATTGGGATAAAGCAGGGCTTTGGATGAGGCCTGCTCGCTAACCCCACCCCTCCACAACTGTGCCTGTGAGCTATCTTTTCTTCAGTACCTCTGGGAAGGGAAAGGGGGATGAGGTAGGTGTGTGTGTGTGTGTGTGTGTGTGTGTGTGTGTGTGTGTGTGTTTTATATGAAGGGAGGAGGTAAGAAGAGAACAGAAGTTTCCTTCCCCTGCACAGGCCCACCCAGTGAACCATCCGTTACGTCCTGCCTTGCTGGGGGCATGAAGGATGGGTGGGCTCTTGGAGGGAGCAAGAGTCCCCAAAGCCCCTGGCATGGAGAGACATAGAGGGTGGGTACCTCAGGGAGTGACCACTTTCATTCCCTGGCACCTTAGAGGCCTGGGGCTGAATGTCATCTCACGCTAATCAAACTGGAACCCCTGTCATTTCCTGGTCTCATCAAATCTTGGGCCTCAGCATCTTTCATGAGGTAGAAAGTGGGTGAAGGGTGAAGGAGAATTAAGTCAAGGAACCTGCCTCTCCCACCCCACCCCTCCTTTCTCTTTTTGAGACAGGATCTCATGTAGCTCCGACCAGCCTCAAATTTACCAAGTCGCCAAGGACACCTTTGAACTTCTGACCCTCCTGCCTCCACCAGTTAAGTGCAGGGTTTTACAGGAGTGTGATGTCATACCCAGTTTTATGCAGTGCTGGGGGGTGGAACCCCAGGGCCTCATGAAACTCAGACAAGCACCTACCAACTAAGGTACAGTCCCAGCTCTAGCCCCAGGTAGCCTCCTCTTATAGTTAAAAAAGAGGAGAGAGGGAGAGAGAGA